GCAACCATACCGCTGACCGTGCCGCCGCCCGCATTCTCTTCAATCCTTCTATCCAACCCCACGTGACTGACCCGGAGACGACGGTCATCGTATGCCACCATCGATGATCCAAATTGGGCACCTTGAGGGAGGCTAGACCCCAGCGCCAGAGGGGATCTATTTCGGATGCGCTTGTAGTCGAGTGCCCCCCGTCATGGCGCACGTGGGATCAAGGATCCAAGGCATGTGAAGGGTTGATAGAGACATTCCCTGAGTATCACGAAGGGAGTATTTATCAGACCATCGAATCCCCCTCAAGTCGTGATGTTGTCTCCTTTCAGTCATCCAACTATCAAACCTCATCATCTGGTGGTGCTTTCTGATCATCTCGCTCGCCCTCTTTTCTTTTTCGATCTCCCCATTCCTTATTCCACACGGGCCTCCATCTCTGTGCAAGAGTTCCTTCTTTGGGCCATCTATCTCGTACTGGCCACTCTCTCAGTCGTAGCATTTCATATACTTGGATCTGCTACCCACGTAGAAGGGCCACTCTTTCATTCTCTTTCGTAAGTCACATTTGATGAACTTTCGAGGTTGGTGGCGGACAGCACTGACAGTAATGTTAGTTACTTGTCTTTAACCTGTATCAGCCATGTCTTTCACAACGTCTTCTTCAGTCACACTACCAGTGCCCGTTGTAGAAGATATTCACCACGACCTTCCAATCAAGAACGGCGACAAGAACAGTTCCGAGCTCACCTTGACGCCGCCGACTAAAGTCTTCCTCCCGCCGAGCAGCAACTCATCAACGCATACTCTCGTAGTCACCGATGGCATTCCTTCTCAGACTCCGACTCCTCCCGCATCAAGTAGCTCAGTCGACGACACTGATGACGAAGAAGACGAGATTCCCGTTCCCTCAAAGACGGGCAACCGTCCTTACCGATACCTGCGCTGGAACTTTGGCTCGGTCTACAGACGCATCTTCAGTCTCGCGTTCTTTGGAAACATCGCCGCCCTCATCTTCGTCATCATCCGCTCCCTCATCGGAGGCATTCCGCTCACGCCTCAAACCTGTGCCACGGCCGTCTCAGCAAACATCCTCGCCGCCCTCTTCATCCGCAACGAGCACACAGTCAACGCCCTCTTCAAACTCTTCGTCCTCTTCCCATCTGCGAAGGCACCCCTCCGCATTCGCCGCACCTTTGCCAAGATCTACTCATACGGTGGCATCCACAGCGGCTGCGGTGTAGCCTCCTTCTTCTGGTTCGTCGCCTTCCTCGTCGTCCTCACGGCCCAGCTCAAGAACCCATCAAACGCCGTACGGGCCTACATCCTCCTCGACAGCTACCTGATCTGCGCCCTCCTCGCTGCCATCATCGGCTTCGCACACCCCAGAGCCCGTGTCCTTCTTCACAACTGGTTCGAGGGCACCCATCGCTTCTTGGGCTGGTCCGTCATCGTATTCTTCTGGGCTCTTGTCCTGCTGCTTGCCGCGGACGACAGCACGACGGCCGGGACCCCTTACGCCGTATCCCTCGTCCTGACGCCGTCATTCTGGATGCTCATCGTCATCACCCTCCTAGTCGCGTACCCGTGGACCCGTCTCCGCCTACGTGATGTCGAAGCCGAGGCCATGTCGGACCATGTTGTCAAGCTCAACTTCAACTACGCAGACGTCCACTACGGCCAAGCCGTCCGCCTCACCGACGCACCCCTCCGCGAGACCCACGCCTTCGCCGTGATCCCGAACCCCGCCGCCCCATCCACCGACGTTGAGAAGGCCCAGTCAACAGGGGGGCTCTCCAACGCTGGAAAGAAGGGCTTCTCCGTTCTCGTCTCCAACGCGGGCGACTGGACCAACAAGATCATCAAGAACCCGCCAAAGAAGATCTGGACCCGTGGCGTCCCACAGTACGGCGTACTCCGCGTGGCCGGTCTCTTTGAGCCGTGCATCGTTATCGCTACAGGCTCGGGAATCGGACCCTGCTTGAGTCTCTTCGTGCAGAGGCCGGATCACCCCGTACGCATCATCTGGTCGACGCAACGGCCGGCCGAGACATATGGACAGGCCGTCATCGATGCGCTCTACCGCGCCGACCCGGACGCAGTTATCATCGATACCAAGAAGACGGGCCGGCCTGACTTGGTCGCGATCACGTACCGCATTTGGGAGAGTAGTCGTCGTCAGGCTCTCGGTCTTGCGCAGAATGAGGGTATTGCTACGACGACGATGAATCAGAAGAAGATGGGTCCTTGTGAAGCTGTTGTCATCATTTCGAATCAAAAGGTGACGAGAAAGGTTGTATATGGACTTGAGAGCAGAGGTATTCCCGCATACGGCGCCATTTTCGATTCGTAGACTTTGGGATGGAGCATGCGTCGCGATTGCTTTGGTGTACTTTTCTGCATTCTTTACTGGTCACATCTTGTTCCATTTCATCTTTTTTTTTTTGACATCCGTGCTATTTGTTAGAAGTTGCATAGCGGGCATTGCGGCATTTGGAGCAGGCGTTTGGAGGGCTACGATAGAGCAGAGGTTCTTGTTTTGCTTGTTCTTGTGCGAAAAAAATACCAGAGCTTCGGAAAGAGGGCAGCCGTTGCAATTTTGCATGCCCAATGTGTAGAATAAATCGCACAATTGAATTTACTCCAAGAAAAACACACGTTTTTTTTTTTTTTTCTTGCCATTCCTCTTGTCACGATAGTGGTCTTCAAATTCAAGCAGAAGAGTGGACGATCTGAGTCGAGCTCCGTATGAACCGCTACTCTGGCTTTCCGAACATCAGCCAATCATGGCACCCCATCTGGTCGGTTAGCTCAGTTGGTTAGAGCGTGGTACTAATATTTCACCTGAGATGTTGTGTAATGCCAAGGCCGGGAGTTCAAGCCTCCCACTGATCATCTTTTGCTTCTTGTCGCAACCATAGTCTTCTTTTGCACTGGTGAAAAAAGTTTTGGTGTTTTGGGCTGAAAAAACGACGTTGCTTTTTAGCCTTCGTTCCTTTTCGTTCCTCCCTTCCCTTTCGGACAGACTTTCCCTAGTTGGAGTCGCGATTTACGCACTGTGTACACACGACAACTCCTCCTCGCTGGCGGTACTTTCCGGCATCTCGAAGCGACTTCCCGCCGGTTCGGAAGTTGTCGTGCAAAGACTACTTTTTGAATTCTGCACTGTACGTGAATTTTACACATCACCCCTCAACAGAACTTGTCATTTTCTCACCGACTTGCATATTCCAACATCTTTTTCATTCTAACGCGAGAGGAAGCACGCAAAGACAATGAAGATACTTTTCATACCAGAATGTCACCGTCGATAGATCCTGCTCGGGATCTGATGACCGATCATCAGCTCATCAATACGCAGCCTGCATGGCGTCGCATCCATCTCATTCGAAGACGATGAACCACAAGATTGTCGCCCGCTCGCAATCCTACAAGAACCTCCGTCTGGCCGCACCGGCGACCGAACAAAAGACCCTCGTCGACCTAACGTTTACGGACTCGGAGCTCAATGCCGCATTCTTCTTGCGGGTCGCAGGCACCCAAAAGTCATATATTACGGGCCCTCCACGACTCGAATTGGGCCTATGTGACCTCCCATTTCCACCGCCCCTTCTCGTTGCGTTATTTGGTTCTTCCAATCGGCGCCGTTGCCAGCTCGTCGTTGCCCTTGGCTTCGGTTGAGTCAGTACCGTGCTGTCGCATCGCTGCGTACCGAAATGGAACATAACAACACACGGCAGGCAACCTGTCAAATTAGCCGGCTGCATTTGCTTGTTGATGAATACGTGCGAATCCAACAACGGATCAGAGTGACGAAAATGCACGAATCCGTGTCATCACACCTTGGCTGAATAATTCTCACGAATACCTCGCACCGCATTCGAGGGAGTCGTCAGGCATGGGCTCGTTTCATACAAGAATCCAAAAGCAAGACACTGCGCGCCGCCGCACCAAACGCCTGGGATATCGACAACCTGACAGATGCGTTTGCTTCTCGCATGTTCCCCCCGCAATCTCGTGGCAAAGCCTGTGGCGTTGTCTCGGTACGGATACAGGGGCTGTCAAAAGACGCATCGACAGCGAGAAGCTCAGATCTGCAGTGCCCTCAAGGGTTGCATCCTGATGATCCTCTCTCCTGACAAGAAGCCAAGAAGTCCCAGCTGACGCCCCTCGACCCCGGCTATATCCCCGTCGATTTGGGAAGCCCGGGTCGAAATGCCGCACCGCAACGTGGGGCTGCGCCTTGTTGCCTCCGCATTCCGTTCCTGGCAATGCCATGCACGCCTGTTTCGACCTCACTTCACTGTCCAAGACATTGCATCTTGATGTATCCAGACTCGCGGTGTTCCTGTCAAATATCATGACTTTCAGATACGTCAAGCACGAGTTGAGGCTTCATCGGCGCTTTTTTCTTTTTGATTTTCTTTCCCAGCTCTTGTTTCTTCTTTCTCGCGTGCTGGTTCGTCTCATGTGCAAACACCCGAGTCCCCCGCGTCCACCGCTTCATCCCGTCCCTTGCCCCTTCATCTGATTGCTGGTTTCTCCCGCTGCCTCTGGTAGATTGAGGTGCCTGGATCAACCCCGGTCATGAGGCTTGACCAACAAAGGCAATTCAGCACTGTTACATTCCGTTGGAAAGAGGCCCAACCCCACCACTTTCGATAACATGTGCCGCTCTCCCCCATACTGTGATGGACCCCCTAGACAAACATTTCCTCCTATCGGTGCAGTTGCAAACCATGCACCCATCCACAATCACGGGAGATATCACTGGCCGAGCCATATGCTGGGAGCCTGTGGTCATGTGGCAGAAGGCGCCAACTCCAGGGTTTACATCTGAAAGAAGAAAGTAGTAGGTCCCAGGATGGCGGCGAGGGAGACTGCATCCAAGGAGGTGTTGGGCCTTGGCAAATGTCACTGTTCCTTTAAATCATCTCTCGCCCTCCCAGAAGGTGAAAGCATGATCCGAAACTTTGGTTGCTAGACCTGTGTTGACATTGACGTCCGGTACCATGAAGTTTTTCAGTCGTTCTGGTGCTCTGGCAGCACTCCTGGCCACAACATCTCGTAGGTATATGTTATCATCAAAGACAAGCAACTTGCTAACACGGTGTGCAAGTCCTCGATGGAGCTGCCGCCCAATCCCCTACGCCGGTCGTCTTGACCGACTCCAAGACCGGCATCATCTTCGACACTTGGTCCGCAACTAGCGCTCAGACGGCCGGGGGCATGACGTACGGTTTCGCCCTGCCTCAAAATGCCTTGACAACGGACGCCAACGAATTCGTTGGCTATCTCGTAGGTCTCCTCAACCCATTGTCCGTTTCAATGACTGATAGTGCTTGTCCAGCAATGCGCTTCCAAGAACGGCCAGGGCACCGGCTGGTGCGGTATCTCCCTTGGCGGATCGATGACCAACAAGCTACTTCTCATGGCATGGCCCAGTGGCTCTGATATCCTGACTTCGTTCCGCTGGGCAACAGGCTACGTGATGCCAGACGTCTATGCAGGCGACGCCAAGCTCACACAGATCTCGTCTACCATCAATGCGACACACTATACCCTCATCTACCGGTGCCAGAACTGCTTCAGTTGGAACCACAACGGCGCCACTGGTAGTGTCTCAACCAGCGCGGGCTCCCTAGTCCTAGGATGGGCGCAGGCCTTCACCAGCCCAACCAACCCCACGTGTCCTGCCTCAATCAACCTGGTCCAGCATGACAACCAAGGTATTCATGGCGCCGCTCTCGATGCCAATGCCGCGAACCCCTCGTACTCTGCATGGGCCGCTTTGGCGACCAAGACCGTCACGGGAAGCTGTGGTGGCGCCACTACAACTTCAGCGCCACCCTCCACCACCACTACGAAGGCACCTACTGGACCTACCGGTGTGCCCGTCCCCTCCGGCACGTATGACTACATTGTCATCGGAGCAGGAGCTGGTGGCATTCCCTTGGCCGACAAGCTGAGTGAAGCTGGCAAGAGCGTCTTATTGATCGAGAAGGGACCGCCATCTTCCGGCAGATGGGGTGGCACCATGAAGCCGACCTGGCTAGAGGGTACCAACCTGACCAGGTTCGATGTTCCTGGTCTTTGCAACCAGATTTGGCGCGACTCTGCCGGTATTGCATGCCAGGATACCGACCAGATGGCCGGTTGTGTTCTGGGTGGAGGCACCGCCATCAACGCTGCTCTTTGGTGGAAGGTATGTCGTCCCTCGGTTGATAAAAATTGACGTTGATACTAATGTTTTGTAGCCATATGCCCAAGACTGGGACTACAACTTCCCAGCCGGATGGAAGTCGACCGATGTCGCTGCTGCCACAAGCCGGGTCTTCTCTCGTATCCCCGGTACAACGACACCATCTCAAGACGGCAAGGTCTACCTGACGAATGGCTTCAATGCTATCGCCGGCGGACTTCGCACTGCTGGATGGTCGGAACTCGACCTGAATGCGAACCCAAACTCCAAGAACCGCACGTTCGGCAAGACGCCGTACATGTACTCTGGCGGAGAACGCGGTGGCCCCATGGCGACATACCTTCTCACCGCAAGCAAGCGCAGCAACTTCAAGCTGTGGACCAAGACGGCCGTCAAACGTGTTGTTCGGACGGGTGGGCACATCACCGGTATCGAAGTCGAGCCGTACTTGGACGGTGGATACACCGGAACGGTCAACGTGACTAACATCTCGGGCCGAGTGATTCTGTCCGCAGGAACCTTTGGCAGTGCCAAGCTTCTCCTGCGCAGCGGCATTGGCCCACAAGATCAGCTCGAGATCGTCAAGAGCTCCACTGACGGGCCTACCATGATCTCCAATGCATCCTGGATCAACCTGCCTGTCGGATACAACCTGGAAGATCACACCAACGTGGGTCTCACTGAGAATTTCAGACGATCTGAGTATTGAAGCTGATTGAATCTAGACCGATACCGTCGTCACGCATCCCGACGTGCAGTTCTACGACTTCTACGAGGCGTACACTGACCCCAACGTCACTGACAAGAACCTCTATTTGCAGAAGAGAAGCGGCATTCTGGCCCAGTCTGCACCCAATATTGGCCCTCTGTAAGTTGTGACATGCCACTCGCTGGTATCCGTTGCCTTTGCGTTAATGTCATCCCAGCTTCTTCGAGGAGATCAAGGGTGCCGATGGCATCACTCGGCAGATGCAATACACGGCCCGCATGGAGGGCAGTCTTGGGGCCCCCGACGGCAGTAAGTGTTCTTTCTAGGCTCATCATTGTTTGACGTCTGAATGTTGACACGTCCCACAGAAACCATTACCATCAGCCAATACCTCGGCCGTGGCGCAACTTCACGCGGCAGGATGACTATCCAGGCCAACCTCGGCACCGTCGTGTCCACCGTACCCTACCTTCGCGACCAAAATGATGTCGAGGCCGTCATCAAGGGTCTCGAGAACCTGCAGACCTCCCTCAAGAGCGTGACCAACCTTGTCTGGAACTTCCCTCCGCCGGGTACGACCGTCAGAGACTATGTCAACAACATGCTCGTCTCGTACTCGAACCGTCGCGCGAACCACTGGATCGGTAAGTTGAGTCCCGCACTCCCTCCCAAGTTACACCCGTCTGCACATCGGAATCGCTGACTGAGAGTCTCGGAAAAGGCACGAACAAACTCGGGACGAGCGACGGTCGCAGCAAAGGCGATTCTGTCGTTGACGTCAACACCAAGGTGTACGGCACAGATAACCTCTTCGTCGTTGATGCCAGCATCTTCCCCGGGATGGTCACCACTAACCCGTCATCGTACATTGTGGTCTCTGCCGAACACGCCGCCGCCAAGATTCTTGCCCTCGCAACCTCGACAGCGCAGCCGCTTTACGGGCAGTGTGGTGGATCGACATGGAATGGCAGCTTTCAGTGTGCTGCTGGGTTGAAGTGCACTGTCAAGGACGCCTACTACTCTCAGGTATGAATACTTTCCTTCCCTTCTTACCTCTTGCCCCAATGACTCTAGCATGTTGCTCGAAGGAGATGACAATGATATTAACGTGATTGACAGTGTCTCTGAGTGGGGTTTCGAGGCAGGGTATCCCAAGTCGAGAAGCGCACGTGGCGCGCTTTATTTCCCAGTTCTATCCACCATGTTTTTCGCATGTACATACTTTTTTGCGCCATCTATCTTCCGAGCATATATCTTCCATTGAATTCCTCGTAACCCCGAGGTATATTTATATCCACACTTGACCCCATCAAGCGCACGCTTTTTTTGCACCATGAAGAAGGTCTTGTTTACCCCTCGGTCCGGCGCTCTACCCAAACATGCGCACCAATGAAAAAAGGACTCGGCACCACGCCTAACCCCACACGCCAACTGACGTCGTATCTGAGATCTCCCGGCACCTGGATCATCCCCAATTCTGCCTCTTTCTGGGGAGAGTCGTGTGGTCCGCCCCTCTTTCTAAGGTTTTGTTTTAGTCGACGTTTCCCTGTTCGTTTACTTCGGAGGAACCACGTCTGGCCATGCCTGGCAGTGTTTTGCCATGTGCCTGCCGATGACGACTGGAGACACGAGAATATTGATGGGGCGGCAAACACATGGGATGAGCGGTGACCTAATTTCCCTGATTCGAGAGCATGCAGCTCAGCTTGAGCTGCTCGCCCAGCTCCTCAAGCTTTCTAATTGAAAACCATGAGGTACGGAGATGGTCTGATTCTATCCACTCTATCCGTGTTTACCTTATTTCGTGATGGCCCTCGTGACCATTCCTTCGGTGGATGCAACCGACGCCCAACCCGGCCCCGAAGTCCCCGGTGCCTTGCATCTCCCGTCACGCCTTGGGTCGCCCTCGACACGACACTGGAAGCAGATCTTCCAGCGACGGGAAAACTCTAGCGCCCCTGGCACGTTCCGTGGTGACAGCCTGCGGTACTGCAACGGCAGTGTGTGGGATGGCCAACCAGTCACCAGTTACGAGCCAGAAAAACCTTGTATTAACCTCGGCGCCGGCCGTGGCGGGGTGCAGTTCGTTCGAGCGCGTCTCTCGTAACTAGACTAAGCTGTAGCGCATCTCCATCTCGGGGTGTCTTCGCCGACAGCTTCGCCGTTATTAACGTCGCGCGACGATACCCGCCCCGCCATCACGACGCTTGTCCTAGATGAGAATGACAGGGCGTCCTCATACCACACCTATGACGATGGTCAAGACTCGACGTTGCGTTTCCCCAGATTGCGGGGTGTGTCAGTCAATCCATGTGGGTTTGACAGCTCCCGAAGAAACATGATAAAAGGACTCGACGTCCCCAAATCCACTGCGAACCTGTTCCTCTTCTTCTCTCGTGTGCTTCAGCATTCTCCTATCCCTTTTCACCTCACCTGCACAAGATGCCCTCCCTCAAATCCCTCCTCCTCCTGGGCGCAAGCCTGGCCGCGACATCGGTCCAGGCTTCGCCCATCCAGTCTCTCGACTTCAGCGGCACCTCCCTTGCGCCCCGCGCCGACCCGAGTCTGACGGGCTACCTCGGTGCCTTCTTCCTCGGTGCGGACCCTTACGTGTACTTGTACCTCTCCAATGGCAACAACCCGACCTCATTCCGCGCGCTCAACTCTGGTTCGCCTGTGATTCGGCCGACCAAGGGAACGGGCGGTGTGCGTGACCCTGCTATTGTTGTCGGTGGTGGCGCGGAGAAGGGGAAGAAGTGGTATATCGTTGGCACAGACTTGAATATCGCAAAAGTATGTTTCTGCTCATGACTCTCTGATGAGGAACCCGGGCGCTGATCGTGATTTAACTCAGACTACTTGGGATGCGGCCCAGAGACAGGGGTCCAAGGGCATTTTCGTCTGGGAGAGCACGGATCTCGTCAACTGGACCAACGAGAGACTCGTTGTTGTCGAGAACTCTAGCGCCGGCATGGTGTGGGCTCCCGAGGCCATCTGGGATGCTGCCAAGGGCCAGTACCTCGTCCACTGGGCCTCCAAGTTTGTAAGTTCACGCACCACCTTGACAATGCTCCTCTTCGAGACTGTTGAAAACTGACCACGGCGGCCTAAACAGTACCCCGCCTCGGACCCGAACCACACCGGCAGCCCCGGCGCCATAGTGATCCGCTACGCCTACACCTCGGACTTCAAGACCTTCTCCACCCCGCAGACCTACATCGACAAGTCCCCGACCAACATCATCGATCTCAACATCCTCCCCACCGGCACCGACGGCAAGTCCTTTGTGCGCTTCCTCAAGGACGAGTCCCTCAAGACCGTCTTTGTCGAGGTCTCCACCACCGGTCTCTTCGGTACCTGGACCCGTCCCGGCGGCAGCTCTGCTGTCATTGCCAGCGGTGTTGAGGGTCCTGCTTCGTACTGGGATAACCAGGTTGCGGGCAAGGCGCATGTTTTGCTTGATTTCTATGGCGATGATGGGTACAGGCCGTATGAGACGACGAATGTGGCGAGTAACTCTGGGTGGACTGCTAGTTCGCGGACTGGGTTCCCAACTGGGTTGAGGCATGGTGGTGTTTTGCCTGTTAACCAGACTATTTACGATGCTTTGGGAAAGCGTTGGGGTTAAGCGACTAGGGTGTTGTACATATAAGAGAGGTTGTAATAAGTGTATATAATCCGCAGCTGAGCGAGCTGTCGCAATGAACATGATCATGAGGACTTCCTGTGCTGTAACCCAATTGACTCCCGCTGTTCCTCATCACAATTCATGTGTCTTGCACTCCAACTCCCTATGTGTACCGTTAGACGCAGACTACCCAAATTGTGTTCAGAGGGGTTTGTGGTTTCGAAAGGGTTCTGACACCTAGTGACTTGGTATGAATACAACCACAAGGCATCTCTGCCACATCTAGCTCTAGGCCTCCGCAGAACAAAAGTCTGGCAATAATCGCGCTTGGTCAGGATCCGAACAAGCCTGTGCAACTGACAAAAGGTACTGCAGCCTTGTCAACTCCAGAGACTCATTGGACACATCAAGAGACACCTTCGATATGTCAATAGACTCCAGCCCGATCTGATACGACAATTTTGCGTAGATGATAGACACCAGTCCCAACACGAATCCCACAATCGAAAACACGAGCGCCACACACGCAATCACGAAGTTGGCTGACTCCAAGACATTGAATCGATCTGGAGTGGGGAGAAACTGCCAAATCCCTCTTCTTGGGCCTTTTGCGACGCTCAAAAGCCGGTCCATCTTCGTTCCCCAGATGGCGTACTTCTTTAAGTCGGTGCTTGGGACTCTGCCACAATAACCCAAGCTGTAAAATTCTTGTTCTCGCCTCTGTAGAAATCGTCTGGTGTGGTCATCGTCCGGAGGGAGAAGCACATTGAGTGTGTCGAGCGCTTCGAGCAGCACAGATTGTGGTACCAAGCAATCCGGTCGGCCCACTTGCGAAGAGAGCCATATCTTGTGCTGGAAAATCCAGACAAGCCTCAATTCCTCGTCGATACGAAGATGCTCATTTAGGAAGTCAGCCCACACAATAGTGTAGCCTTGGAACTTGGCGAGCGAGCATGCAGTGAGATGCGTGTCCAGGGCTGCAGCTTTCAACTCTGGATCTGGTGTTGGCTGATAGAAATCAGATACGGCCTCTCCCAACGATGACGTAGGGTTCCATATCGCTACTGGACCAGAAAATGTATTTGGTTCGGGATTAATTTGAATCATCGTCATTGTTGCGAGAGATGCTGTCAAGGAAATGACGTTCTGCACGTCGCAATCTTGGTTTCCTAGGTTTGCAGCACTGGGCTTAAACGCCTCCACCAGGCTCTCCCTGGGCATTTGGGGCGACTTCCTGATGGAATCCATGGCCTCAAAAACTTTTCCGATGTTCTCGATCCCTGGCGACAGCTGATTGAGGGAATACCGCCAGGTATTCAGTGTACTTCTGACGCATGTTGCCAGTGTCATATATTGACCGGAGAGGTAGACTTTGTCCGCCAAAGCTGGCCACAGCCGTTTGCAAAGCTCGGTATCGTTGGGGTCACCTTTTGCTTTGCGTGTAAATGACATTTGGGGATTAGAGTATGTAATGAAGAGTTCAAGTGGGTTTTAACTTAGTCGTAATCGAACTATGAGTGGCCGCGATAGACGACAAAGATGGAATCGATGTTGATGCTCTGAACCTACAAAACGACACATTCATTTAAGTTGACCTGTATCTCGGAAACCCCCAAGTTTGTCTCGGGTCACATGTGACTTCTCTGTCTGTCAGTCTTACTGCATGCCCAAGGTACCTCGCATTTAGTGGCTGGAGTAATCAGGCTGTGTATCAGGTATTAGGTAGGTAATATCAGGAGGAAGCCAACGATTGGCCCTTTGGTCTTATTCCGCAGCTGTGCACTGCCATCTTCCAAATCCCTTTTGAAAGCCATGAGAATGCCTTTCCGGCGAAGTGCAGCAAGCTTCTTGCACTTTCAAGTCTACTTACGGCGAGATTGGATGTTCATTTTCGTTTTTCGAAGCCTAAACTCAGGGCAAGATGAAGATAATGTGCCACCCAAGCAAGACCGGAGCCGGTAGTTTCAAGGACGATGCCCCGTATAATGTCGCTTTGTCTCATTTAGTTCATTGTCAATCAAGGTGAAATGCATTCTTTCGCTGGCAAAGAATCTTCTGCTCCGGATGACGACGAGGATAACGACGAGAGCGCCCCAAACCGTGATCACATTCGTGGCCCGAAGACGAAACGACAGCGGATAAGTGCGAACAGAGAGAACATTCCAACACCCTCAGATACTATTTCGACACCTTCAAGAGTTTATGAGGACCCTGAAGATGGATCATCTCGGGAGTTTGCTGGAGATGAAGTTCTTCGATCGACCCCGCATTCCCTGCAGGTTCTGCAGGATACCCAACTTTTGTCGACAGGGCGACCTCCCACGCCTGCCTCAACTTCTGGTGCCAGCAACAGATTAAGTGCCCACAGTAGCGATGAGACCCCACGGGTTCCTCCAGAACCTCACTCAGATGAGGTGACAGCAAGTCACACGCTAACTGTGGACTCTACCCAATTGTGGCGATTCCCACATACCAGTAAACCGACCTGGGTAGCTCGAGAGGATCAAATCCATGTTCCCCCAAAGCTTTTGTCCTTGTGGCCTCAGGTCAAGACTGGTTTGCAAGTCGATCTGCAATGCGTTGTCACACAGATGGTTGCAGAGCAGGCCAAGGAGAAGGACCGCGCGAAGCGAATGGACATCTCAAGAAGAACCATCTTCCTCGAACTCTGGATGTCAGGGCGTCAGCATAATTTCTGGTCCACTTCAGTCACTATTTCACCATGCATCTGGATACTCTGTGGCAGTAAATCCTGCCGCAACAAAGTCCGTCGTGTAATGCGAAACCTACAGCTCCCCGAGTTATTCATGAAACATCCAGTGGAGATCCACGAAGGAGCGCCCAAGCTCTCCGCTATCAACGCCGATGTTACTCTTCCTCAACTTCTACTTGACATCGAGCGAAAATTTGGGCTTGCTCACAAGAATGGAACGATATTATACCACATCGAAGCCCTCAAAAGCTTACAGGGAGCCCACTCAGCCTGCGGCTTGCTTTGTTGTGCCACATTTGTTAAGAACGGAAAAATCATCGACCAGCATATCTCCAGAATAGGAGGTCTCTTGACCAATGGCAGGGATGTTACGAGGCGACCGATTGCAATAACGACTTCTCACGGACTATTGAACTATCTATGGGCAGGGAACGATGATCATGACGCGACTCCGGAGAGTCTAATAGGGTCCATGGAGCTTGATCAAAGCACTGAGGATTCCGGCGTATTATCCGCGAATGAACCAGATAGCTATTCTGAGTCTGAAAGCGAGCCCGATGACGACATTTCTCCTAGCCCGTACAACCACAATAGCAATGAAACGAGTCCAGATGATATCAAGTCTGAGCCGGTCTCGCCCACGACGAGTCCCATTTTTCAGAATCAGGATACGAAGGACTATCTTGGAAACAGAAGCGTGAAGGACGTGACGGAATGGCAGTGCTTGGAAGACATTATTGGGATCAGGTTGTGTAGGGAGCGGATACCCGGCTTCAACAAACCCCCCCCCCCTGCTCCTGGACCTGCCGACTATGCATTGCTGCGATCAGACTTTTTATCGTCCTTACAGAACGTATCGTCGCTGGTTCCCGAAGTGGGAATATCGTCCTTCCTTACCAACGACTCGCTTGAGAGTGGTCCTTTAACTCTTAATCTAGGCCCTGGAGAGTTGAGCATCGTTGTTTTATTGCCAGGAACCACCACATTGCCTTTTGCGTCAGAAGAGCTGGTAGTTCGAAGAATCCAGCTTTCGAAACCATTAGGTGACTATAGACGCACCTTGATTATCTGTTCTGATAACTGACTAGCTCCTCGGTAGCGACTGGAACATCAGGAACGTGGCTGTGCCGGGGTTCATCATTCGGCGGGATGATAGTCGCAATTTATCCAGACCAGCCCTTAGCCCTCATGGTCAGTGCCGAGGACATCATCACTGATATGGACTGTTCGTTTGGAATAAAGCGGACCTCAGTTGAGCCAAGTAATTCCACTCTTGATAACACGACTGCTCAGCCAGTTGCCGTGACTGCAGATAGAAGCTACAAGGTTTACGACCCGTTAGAACCCAAAGAGCTGGAAGATGCAAGAAATACAGAAGAGGATCCACGCGAGGTAGAAAAACAAACAACCCGACAACGAATAAGTGCCGATTTGGAAACAAATAAAGGTAGAGCTTGCTCCCAGCAAGGCTAGAGATAAATCGCTGACACCGTGGTAGTTTTCGCACCTGGCACTCTAACGGAAAGCTTTCAAGACTGCTCGAAAGAATCTCCACACGTCATTGTGTGGTATTGCGTAGGTCGATGAGCTTTGAATCGATTGAGTCCGCCCAAATTGCTGACATCTCCAGTATCATTGTTCCTTCGGCCCATGTAGTATTCACATGGATGACTTTTGTCCCGTGTGTCAATGGCAACGCAACTCCCACTGCGAAGTGATGAAGATGGAAATACCGGACGACGCCTAGCTGTTTGAGAATAGAATTGTATGGCTTAGATTCATAAACAATGCTGGTTGTCTTTGAAGAGAAGTTATTGAAATATCAATACTTGCTGGTAACCTCTTGAAGGAAATGTCGTCAATTCAAGGTCCGAACTGAAACCGCCTGACGAAGTTATGTGGAGGTTCCTCGTATAGGTAGTCAAGGATAGATTGCACGGGGCTGCTCGTGGATAAGTTGGGGAAAACTTGTCGCCAGGTAAAATCCACTGTTCGACATACACTTCCGTCTTCACTCAAAATAAATCCGTAAAATCTATCTTTGACACTTGTAGCTACTTATTTGTCGTGTGCAATTTCAATTAGTGAAAGGCTTGTATTCTGTGAGGTGCCAATGCTGTAGTGTATGTTTCGTTAGTTGCTGCCTACGTGCAATTAATGGATTCGTTTAGGCGACAGCCAGTAAATCGCTTCGCTAAATGCCATGCAGAGATTAGTCCTTTCGGGCCGAAAATTAGGGATGAACTATTCAATGAGTTCGTGCGGGCCAGAAATAGCAGCCGGGAGGGAACAAAACTTGTGTCGGTTGGTGGTTCATCCGCCACCCTGCCCATCGGGTACTTCTTCTTACAAGTTACATTTTGTTATAGCGAGTCAGCAAACAGTGATGTGAGTCGCTGGGAGTGTTTGATGTGAGAAGAAATTTTCCATTCCGTCAAACGCCAAGCTAATTCCCTGTTCCAAAGCCGTCTGGAAAACTCATCCGTCAACTCAACAAAGTCCCTCCCCTCTTCAAGCTCCAACCCTCCTTGACAAGCCAGAATGAAGCCATGGCCGGCGTTGTGAGAAGGGCGAGAAGTCCTCCAAGGATCCCTTTGAAGGCTTCCGGTGCCCACTTGGATTGAAAATACCAATCCCAATCATTCCCGGATCCCCGGGTTCCGATAACGGTCAATATTCCGACCGAGGCTGGCCATAGCAGGAAGAATGAAACAACAAAAATCAACCCAATTCGAATTAGGTGTTCAGCAAACACCGAAAGCCTGCTCTTGGTGTGTCTCGTGTCTTCCAGATTAAGCATCATAAACCACCGCATGAAAGGTGACGAAGGTTCTTCGATGAAGCCTATCGGGCGGACGCTCCCATTCTTCATGTCGCGATTGGCAAGAAAAAGCTCGATGAACCACGTCATTGTCGTTTGGATAATCATGGTCACCACTGCATCCCCAGCTAGTGTGTTGGGCAACTGGAATAGGCGAATGGGATTGCGCGCGATGTTCTGAGTTGAGTACATGCCTGCATAATTTGTGTCAATAAACTCTCATGTTGCTGCTTGGTTCGCCAAAAGCTTAAGCTCAGCAGAGTGTTGAGGGGCCTTACCGTAAGCGATAGCAAAATTTATGCCCCCGGAGAGAACTGCAGCACCAACACCGTCGAGTCCAAAGATGTAAAAGATCTGATGTCCACTGATACTGTCCGTTGGATGCTTCTGGCGAGGTCCGGCAGGCTTGACTTGAACGCCAGCCTCGATGTCGCTTTCATTCGAGACCCTCTCATTAGAGACTCTCTCGTTGCTATTGCCGCCAGCATATGTTGAGGCTGTGTTGTCTTCGAACGACTTGTCCGCTATGCATTCGTGCTTCCTGAATGGCATATTGTCTGATAGCATAGGATAGAGTCTATCTCATGGAGGGAAGAAGTTGCAAATTGTCGAACCAGGACGCGTCTTTATTGCAAACTATGCTATCTGTCTTTGTTTTGAAGAGGGCAACTTGTTGTGGAAGAGGGTGTGAAGGGGGGCAACGAGCAGGGGGTCTGGAAGGGTTTTTTTCCTTCCTTTAAAAGGGGGTCCTAGGTGACTCGTGAGGCTGCTTCATGATCGCCGAAAATTTCCGGAATGACCGGGGGAGGCTGTCGAATATTGGTCGCTTTGGCGTTTCGGTCAGTGGGTTTGTGAGGTGACACGGGTAAGAGAATCAAGCGAACTGGCAAAATCCACTAGCTTGACTAGCTCCTAGACAGAGTTGCACTGATGAAAAGGGTCCGTGATCTTCGCTATCCGTCTAGGCGTCTACGGATAGATGTGGATGTTTGTCAGCGCACAGACTAGATCGGGAGTGCCGGGGTAGATGGAGACTGGCAGATTCCCATCTTTGCGTCAGAGTTGCCATGCATGGCGGTAGGTGAACGAATCAGGTGGCTTCTAGATTCTTTATTTTCCGTCGATTGCGTTCTCCTGCATGATCTTCTTATCGAAACGGTCTTCTTCCTTTGGAGAACAGGCAACGGTTGATATGCAGACCGCATCCGAGCTTGGGTTCTAGCCAAACGTGGCTGTGCAATGTCAACGACTTGCGCTGTTGTTTAGAGTTAATCATGCGAACCAGAGGAGGAGGTTGGAGAGGAAAAAGGGATGGGATTTAATGCCACGGTAGTCCCAGTTCTCGCCAGGCGAGTGCGGTCTGCGACCGCAACTAGCCCGTGATCGACAGCTGGCAACGCCGGATCTTTGGATGGGTGGCCCATGTAAGTCGGGGGCGGCCCCACAGAGACCTTACTGATCGCCTCCGGAGCGGATGGGACCATCCCGGATGACACGGCTGGGAATAGGAACTACTCCCGCCTCCACCATTTGCTCAGTGCCAACAAAGTCTTGCCAACATGGATTTCCCCACGAACTTGTCTCCATAACCATCCCGCTTTCCAGGCGATCAGACAGTGCATTGGTAGTAACACAATAGCACCGCCGGCGACCCAGAGGCCCTAAAGCGCATCAACGATTTGCGTCTCATGTTTGAGGAGACACACTGGGTTTTACCCCTCCCTTGGAGGAAGAATGACCCATCATTTATGGTGTTCCATGCAACAAGATCGAATGAAAAGCCAAATGAAGCCTAGAACATGAGATCAATGACTCGGCATCCCTTGAAACAATGTTTTCCGTACATACATAAACGTGGCTGGCCGTATCCGCTCGCGCCCTCCGGTCCCCCGCCCCCAGCTTTCTCTTCGACGTAATCAGAGGCACTACACGAGTGCCATGCGCACAGAAAAGAAAGCCTACGATCTTCATTGTCTGCGCACGTTGGACGAAGCAAATTTGCTTTCACTGTTCTCTGCTTCTAGATATCGGCACGATGCTCAACGGTTACGAGTGCGACCCCGACGACAAGATGAGGGGCCCATCAATGGACATTGACGAGAAAAGCACCGCCTTTTCTCAAGCTCAGATCTCAACACCTGTATGACTCGACAAACGCCAGTGCACCATCTGAATGCCCAAACTGACTGTGATATTCGTCTAGCCGGCACCGACGAGGAGACACACAATCAACACCATGATGACCACCACGATCATTCCAGAACCCACACCGCCGGCCGCGGACTCACAACGGCGATTCTCCTGGCTGCCGAGATCCACCACCCCATCCCTGCGTAGCCCCACATTCCGGCGGCGAACGGCGAGCCCGTTTGATGACGATGATTACTCATACGCTGAGAGCAACCCATTTGGAGAAGACTTTAGGGAGCAAAATGAGCAGGCTGCGCGGGATTGGGATCGTGAGCATGGTCACGATCATGGAGAGAATCCCTTTGAAGACTGCGAGTACGAGCTGCCACCGGCATCGGCGAAAAAGGATGGGACCTGGACCAAGTTCAAGAAGGCTATGAGTCCACGGCGAGCCATCAGTAAGTGGAAATATCGCAAGGTCAAGCATGAGAGTATGCGACCTGGGTCTGATGATCCAGACCACGGAGACGATAGCCATCATCAGAGGCAAATCTCTTGATTTTGACACAATGAGTCAGCCTTGAAAGGGCGGGATGACTGTCACACCACACATGATACCACTCGGGGCGGGGATTCCGCTACAAGAGTTTGCTTTCTTCATTTGAGCCGTGGGGAAAACGGCATTGCCTTCGAACAGAAGTGTCTTGATACCTAGTTGCCTTTGACTTACCTGAAGCGGCGGATAAAAAGACAACCAGGCGTTGTCCAACTGCGTTCAAAAGAATCAAAACCAGCTGAATGTTCAAGTTATCGTGCAGAGAGAAATTCTTATCAGTATTGCCGATCAATTACAATCATCTTTGCAGTTGAGGTATGAAATGATAGATCAGATGAGACACCAGTGGTAAGTACTAATAACTGTACGACTTTGCAAGTATGTCGAGTAATTGATCTCATCAGTTTTTGAACTTCAAGCTATAGCTGCAGATTAAGAAGCCTTCTCATCTCATTGCCCATCACTCCCGGGTGTGGCACAACGATTGCACCCGCCTCCTCGAGTGCCTTTGCTTTAACATCGGCAAGCACATCTCTCGGTGAAAGAATAGCACCAGCATGACCCATAGTTTTTCCTTGCGGCGCCGTTCTCCCGGAGACCATTGCAATTATTGGCTTTGGGTTAGGCGTCAACTTTCTGTAATCTCTTATGGCCTCCGCTGCTCTTAGTTCAGCTTCGCCGCCAATCTCGCCAATGACAATGATTCCCTTAGTCTCTTCATGTTCAAAGAATAATTTAAGCCCGTCCAGAAGTGTGGTACCTTACACATCAAATTAGAACAAATCCAACGGGTATGTTTGGTGGAGGTTTCTGCTCACCTGGCATCATATCTCCTCCCATTCCAACAACAATACTCTGCCCAAGCCCAGCTTTGGTCGTGGCTCCTACAGCTTCGTAACTGAGTGTTCCGCTTTTGGACACAATCCCAACAACACCTTTTGTGTACTGCTTGTACGGCATGATGCCGATGCGACATTGGTCGGGTGCGATGATTCCGGGGCAATTGGGTCCCACAAGTCGAGTTCTGTCTTGTGTTCGGAGAATCTCTTGAACCCTAGCCATATCGTGAAGGGGCACATGTTCAGCAACTGAAACAACGAGCGGCATCTCAGCCTCGATTGCTTCAATGATAGCCCCTGCTGCAAATTGGGCAGGAACAAAAACCGCGCTTGCATGTGGTTTCAGTTTCTTTACGGCCTGTAGACAAAATTTCGTCAGCCAAAGCAAACAGCTGAGAGGATGCTAATGATTTCGTACTTCTTGTACTGTGTCAAATACGGGCAGGCCGAGGTGATCCTGACCGCCCTTCCCAGGGGAAACACCCCCAACAATCTGCGTGCCATATTCTATCGTGTCTCTTGCATTTTTGGTCGCCTAGTATCAGTCAGCCCAATAAAAGCTACATCAGTTTCGTCAATGCATGGTACGCACTGCTTTACCAGTAAATCCTACATAATAGTGAGTTAGCAAACCCCAAGAGTCTGGGAGGAATTCGGTGCATTGACGCATTACCACTTTTCTTACCTTGATATATCACTCTGGTATTCTGATCAATGCTTAGATTGGCAATAGTACTTTCGTATGTACCCCGATTCTCGGCTGTGAATGAGAATCCCCTGGCAAGTCTGGGAGCTCCAAGTTTCCGAGACAAGCACTTGAGTTGGTAAGACAATTTTGTGGCCATGTTGCCTTGAGACTCTCTCGGCTGTGTCTCTCATAAAGCTCAAGAATCAGTATGATTATTGATACGCGTACCTAAAGCACAGCAGAGCAGGGTGAAAGTCAATAATCAAAACGAAGCAAGCATGGATGGGGTCTGGAATGGATCGGTTATGTAACTCCATATAACCGAAAAGCAGGCGTAGTGATGTCATTGGCGCATCTAGAGGCCCCCGCACTCGGCTATACCAAAGATTTAGTCTCGGCTACATGACCACCTGCACAATTCTTTGTTTGGACAACATCTCATGAGAGCTCAAATACTGCCGGGGGCATCTTGGGGGACCCATTTGAGCGCGAGAGGAAACGAGCGTGTTTTAATACTTGGCGACTCTTCACGGCTAAACACAGTCGCGCCCGGAAAATTTTGTTACCTCCGGCTGGCAGTTATGACGAACCTCCGCAGGAGAGCGCGCCAGGCATGCCGAGCTTGCAATGCGCGACGCGTCAAGTGTAATGTAACCGAGCAAAGACCTTGTCGCAATTGCACAACGGCCGACACGCCTTGTGAGCTCCGTGAGTCGAGACGGGGCAAGCATCCTCGCCCATCACGGCGAAGCGCAAAGCCAGGCGACCAAGGCGGACTAGATCAGGCCGGGTCGTCACCTTCTTTCATCGATACAAGTCTCCTTGATGAGTCATTGGCGACTGGGAATGATGAGCACTTTGCCGCATCTCAAGCACTTGCCGATCTTGCAAGATATCGGGAGGCAGAAGGCTCGGGCGATCAGGAAAGCATCACAGTACAACCGCAGTCACCTTCCTTGGCACCAAACAACAGACAAGAGGACGATAGCTCGGTATTCCTCGGCGAGTCATCCTCAATACGTTATGTCACCAATAGCAACCCCACGCCGCCGACAGCCGGTACATCACCACCAGAAAACTTGAAATTTCTGCATGCCGTTCCTCACGCTGTGAGAGCTGAGAATTTACTACCAGAATGGGAAGTAGAGCGCAGAAAGTCGAGAATTCGTTCTCTCAAAGCAGAAGGCGTCTTTTCATTCCCACCTGTGCCAGCCGTGGAAACGTTGCTTAAGACGTACTTCAAATGGTTCCACCCATGCTTCCCTGTCGTGGATGAAACAGATGTTTGGACGAGCTTCAGAGATGGCACCTTATCCCCTCTACTCCTACACGCGATCCTCTTCATAGCTGTCATCCATTGCAAGGAAGATGATCTACCAGCCATTGGACTCGGAGGCCGTCATGTTGCCAAGTGGGTGTTTTACAATCGCGCAAAGGACATTTACGACGTCGAGTTTGAGCCAAAGAAGTTCACAGTCACCCAAGCTTTGTTTCTTATGAGCTTTTGGAGGGCTGGCTTGCTCCTGGAGAAAGACGCCCGGCACTGGCTTGGCGCAGCCATCAGTCTTGCTCAGACGAAGGCGCTTCATCGATCCTCAAGATCCGCTGTAATCGAGAAGAGGACCGAGAGACTTTCTAGACGCTTGTGGTGGGCCATCTATATCCGCGAAAGGCAGTGTGCTGCAGCATTGGGCCTGCCAAACAGGATTCGAGACGAAGATTGCGATATCGAGCCACTAGAGGAACTTGACTTCGAGCGGGCGTTTGACCCAATTTTGCCGAGTCCCAAAGCCCAAGAGTACATCTCGTACTTCATCAGCATAGCTCAACTCTCTAGAGTACTGGGAAGGATTGTTCATAGCGGATACCTCCCTAGTAAGTCACTATCACCTAGTGATCGGTCTCAAATGAGGGATGACCTCGTGAAATGGAGAAAGCAACTACCTGCAGTCATGTCGTTGGCGAATAATGACTTTGGCGATGCGGCAGGGTTTCATGCCAGTATGTTACATCTGGCATACAACAATCTCCTCATCCTATTGTACAGATCAGGTTGCATTGGCAGTGCTGAAGAAAGTAAAGAAGTGGATGGGCAGATAGCCCTCCAGGCCGCGGCAAGAAACTCCCGCATCATAGAGGATATGCTACTGGAGGGAAACTTACGTCACGGGCAAATTCACGTTATAACAAACCTTTTCAATACGCTTTGTATTCATACGGTCCATCTTCGTTCCTTAAATGGTACCGGGAGGTCCATCATTGAGCATAGAGCGAAAATATGTCTTCTGGGCCTGCAAGAGCTGCAAAAAACATGGGAGGTCAGGATGTGGGTGCTGCAGTTATTCTTCCAATATCTGGATCGATCTACGGCGGCGCGATTACGGATGCAAGATGATCTCTCTTTCGCATATGGACTCGACGGTGTGCAGGACGTCAATGCCGGCCCGGTGGTGATGAGTGGCCTCAATCATGGCCCGGCTGAGCATGATGGGGAAGATGGACTTGATACACTACTGGCATCTGAGCCTCCATGGTCATGGTCCACCGAAGAAGCAAATCAATTCCTGTTTACACAGATCGAAAATGACTTCGCTTTCGGTGAGGGGGGCATCCTAAACTGGAACACGGGCACGCCAGCTACTGATTCGCCATCAATTGATAGCAACTCGCAGACGACTGTGGGCTTCTGAATAACTTTCCAGATGTACTTGGGGTGAATTTTGTATGCAGAGGATCAGTATCTATGACAAAGCGCGAACATCCGATCCATATGGTGACTTGCATCAAATTAAACAGGCGTTATCACATACATGCTTCCGAAGCTATACTCGTCTTCAGGCCTCTCCGAATACACGAGTTGCTGCCTCTGTGCATGCACTGCAGAAGACCTTTCCATTCACTATGTTTCTGTCAATGCAATAGCTTCTTCACGCCGTTGTGTTGGTTGCTTTTCATTTGGCACCTTGACGCCCTCACAGGCTTCCTTCTGCCTTAGGACCAAGTTTTGTTCGAGTACATCAAAACAGTCTTCACCCGACTGACTAGGGAACGGGGACATGTCTGGTGTACTCGCGAAACTTGATGCCGCCTCCGACAGACTCATGATCAATTGTGTGGAATCTTCCGTACTAAAGGACAACAACCTCACCAACCTCGCAATACTCTCCCCCTCGGAGGCCAGTATGGAACTAGGTTCAGTGACTGAACGAGAGAAGTAAGATGATTGAATGGGAGAGACCACTGGCTTGACTGGCGGTCGTTTCACGCGGTCGTTTGTTTGGGACGGCTTACGCCCCCTGCTGCTGATGGCAGCTGCTGGCGAAAGAGATAATGATCTATCCCTTCGGACGGCCTTTTCAGGAGTGCCAGGTAAACTCGGTATTTTGCCTTCCTGCTCTCCGATGTCATTCAAAACGTGGCAAATGTTGTCGGGCTGATCACATACAGCAGGAGATTCCACAGATATACAGGGAAATCTCAATGGATCGGACACGCCGTGAGTCCCAATGGTGGCATAAGCTGTGTCACATTTGCTCTTCCGGATCAAATCGTTAATCACAGGCTGTATCCTCGAGCAAGCCCATCTCTCTTTAGCATCTGGCACAAGCATTGTGTGCTGAATGAGGTTCAGCATTTCATGCACGGGCTCAGCACAGCTCTCCTGCCGATGTAGGTAATCAATCCACTATCATCAATGGTCAGTAAGATTGCGGAAGGCATATATCACCAGGAGAGCGACGGCTTCGTTGAGACCACTTACATCAGTGACGGATGTCTTCACTTCAGCCGTCGAGGGTGTATCATCTTTACTTGGATTAAAGTTGAAGAACTTATCTTCAACAAGAATCCTCGACCCAGTATGCAAGCCATCTTCTTGGATCCGAGCGTCTGTGAAATCGTTTTGTGTTCGATCGTCGCCGACAAGAAACCACGATACGAACTCGAGGAAGACGCAGCCCAGAGACCAGATATCATACCTCTGCGATATGGTTCTTTTCAGATCCACGTCGGGAGGCCGATAGGACCCCGAGAAGCCCCTGAGTGCCTCGTGAGCGACTTTCGATCTGGAATCTACACTGTTGAATCGAGTTAACCCAAAATCGGAGATCACAAGAAAGTTGCGACGCGACTCTTCGTATTTCTTGAACCAAAGAATGTTTTCTGGCTTGATGTCGCCATGTCGGCCCCAGTGTTTGTTATCAAGCAACGAGTTTGGTTCGTTTGGAACAGGGACGCAGTTGTCTTCTTTGGACATGGTCCTCAGATTATGAATTCTTCGAAGGGCGCGGACGAGGCCTGAACATTGGCTGAGGAACCAGACGGACTCAGCTTTGCTCTCTGGGTTGGCAATATTTTGGCTCCAGAATTCCTTCAGGTTACCATCTGCCCAGGGAAAGACCAGGTAGTAAGACTGTCCATATTTGTAGGTGAGCTGAAGCTGGATTAAATGGTCGGGGTCTGGCCCTCTTGATCCCATTCCTAGTCTTTCAAAAAGCTCCACTTCTCTCGCATACTCTTCATGAGTTTCAAGATGAAGTTGCTTGACCGCGAAATGCCGGAAGACTTTCCCTCGGTCCTAAGGAAGAATGAGAAAACAAGCGTAGTTGTAAGACCAAAGGTAGCGACTTGCCTTGGACATAGCATCGCGGCTATAATGCGCGTGGTGGATTCTGACTTTTCTAACGCTCCCATAGCCGCCAATTCGAACTAAGTCGTATTCTTGGAATGGCAGAATTGTTTTTGATGTAATTTCGTAATAGTGCACGTCATCGCCTGGAAGTTTAAAAAATGGTGTGCAAATGGTCTCCTGGCATTGAACAAAATTTTTGATGTGCTTGTTACGCCAATGGTCTAAACAACTCAAGATCGTACCATCCTTCTTCTGAAGTTGGATGACAGGTTTGTGACGGGAGTTCCGTTTTATTTCCAGAGGTAAATAACTGTCGTCAATGTCGTGTTTGAGAAAGTCTTCGATCAACTTCACTTGCTCCATTAAAATCAGTATAGCAAATATCTTGCGTCGTCGTGGCTGGGTCTTGACCTCATCTGGCTTGCCACTAATACTGGAGACCCAGCTGTTGATGACTTTGGGTTTGAAATGAGGGAATGCATGTCCTAAAAGCCTCTGTACGGCCGATGGAGTCACGATTCGGCGGAGTGCATCGAGAGGCAAAAAGTCTTTGTCTTCCGACGCCGAAGTTATGCTGGCGGCAAACATAACGTCGCTCATGGTCTGAACATCGGCATCGTCGTTGGTGTTGTCCTGAGGCCATGGTGCAGGATAGGTAGCTTGTGATGCCTGGGTCCTTACACCATCATTCGCCACTTCCGATGACTCCCACTCAATGTAATCTGAATGGCCCATATCCTGCACAGGTACAATACTTAGAAAGCTGCAGTTAGAGGCTCCAGCATCGGATGAGCCGCCTCCAAATGACCCTAGGTTCTGCTTTTCTCCGTTAATGAGCCGGGGCTTTCCTACCGCCTCTTCGTAACGCGTTCCAGTATTAACGTCTTCATCGGTGACATTGATGCGCCATGGGAGGAGTGGGCCGCTTTGACTAGAGTCTTTTGTTTCCACTTGTGAATATTTGGAAGTCGAATCGGAACATCCGAGCTGTGGTGCCTTGATCTGATTCGAAGATGTTGTTTCAGATGTTGATCCGTTTGGAATCGGAGGTTCGGCGAGGCCCAAAAGCTCTCGGTCAATGCCTGCTCGCTTTGTGGGATCCATCCTCAGAGGAGAGGTACCTTAAGGCGGACAAGCTATTGGAAGTGGAACAATCAAGTAAACAGGAACAAATTCAAATCTGTCTCGTACAATGAGTGCAGGGTCTAGACTGATGACCTTGAGATGACAGCTAGCAGACAGCTGGGCAAATCATGCGCGAAAATTATTACTGATGGTTGAGTCAACAAGTAAGTAGGTATTAGACCAGATGTCGGTGCTAGGCCCCGCAGCTCCCATTTCACCAGTCGCCTTGAGCGACGCTGGACTTAAATTATCACAAACCACTTATCCATTACTGTGCCAATATGATGTGTGTGACTGAGACATTCCGATTGATCAAAGTAGCTGGAATGGCACAGCCTGATTTGCCGTGATACTCGGGCTTCCTGTAGTGCTCTCTTTTCCTAACCCTACCTTGAGTTACATTGGCAATGTCCAATAAGCAGATGTGATGCTACACCACCGTTTCTCATGTCACCGAGACTGCTAGAGGCTAAGCCCCCTGAAGCTACCCGGAAAGCCTAGTAGGCATCCAAGGGAAGTCCTGTGCAGCGGGAGGCTTGGGGCTGAGCGTCGAGGTGGTTCGCCATAGCCAGCATACGGGACCAACACCGCATCACTTGATCTAGCCTGGTCAATTGCTGCTTGCAGCCAGTCAAATATCATTGAGACCATGATTCAGAAACCCCAGAGATCATACCTCCGGTCTTCCTTGGTTAGGTCAGGCTATGCCAGCTGAGATCAGTAAATGATCACGCACGCGAGCACAGCCCCAGCGCCCCCGTCAGGCGACTTTCCGAATCTGATATGTCTATTTCAGTCACAATGACACCCGCCAGTCGCCTAACGTGGTGGAATTTACACATGTCTAAGGCTAGGAGATTGGGCTTTTCTCGGTAACTTCCTTCGCATTTTAGAATGTTATCTCGAGTTTGTAGATTTAAACTCAATAACCGCTCACTGAAGATTGCGATCTAGAAGCCAGCAAAGAACGGTACAAGCTTTGAATACACAGCTCAGTGATACAATGCCGCAATACGCATCTGTCAAGGATTTTGAATCAGGTCACTACGATCAGCAAGAACCTGTAGAATTACAAATTCACTCGAATCTTACGAGCTCTTCTCAGCTATTACGGGCGCTAGAGAGACGACTACCCAGCGGTAGTTATACCGTAGAGATGCGGCATAACATATACACGGTGCGAGTCGATAGTCAGAGAGCTCCGTCCGAAAGCTCGATGCTGAAAGCAAGTAAATACCGACTGTAGGATTACTCTGGTATGTGAAGCCGGCACATGAAGTGCAGGACTGCGATGCTTTCAGGGCGTGGATGCTGATTCTTCATGTTAGTACATGTATGATTCATGAATGTTCGATTCATGAGCTTTTGATTCTAAGAGACGGGCGAAGGCGACAAGGAGCAGCGCAGACTGCGCGAGCTGGATACCCGCAACTAGCAAGAACACAGGCTAGACAGCCTAACAGAAAGGACAAATGATTCCAGCATGGAATCAGCAAAAGTCGAAGAGAAGGGAATTCAAAGGACTGAAACATCTTAGGTATTTAATTTCCACCGAATGTAACGGCGGCCACCGGCATCGACAAGAACTAGTCTTGCCTAGGCCAAGTCTCTCGATTCATATTTTCAAGACCGCCTCTTCACACGAATATTGATGCAACACACAACATGATGATCAACTAAAATCAAAAAATACTCGTTTGATAACATAAGGTACCCTGAAAAGTGATGTGAAAAAAAACAAGTAACATTTCGTTTTGACACAAAGTCCATGAAAAAGGAGAGATTCTACGAAAAGAATTCGTAGAAAACTACTGCACCTCGACGTTGAGCTGCGGCTCTCGCAGTAGGATGTGTTCAGCCAGTAATCTTCCTACGCCAACGCGCTCATATCGACCACCTTGTTCTCCAGGTAGTCTGACAATCACAAGAACATAATTTTCTGGCTCCCGGGTCAAACCCTCTGTCTTCTCCTTCCCAATGACGATGCATCTTAGCTGATCTATCGTATGCGGCTTTGACTGATCGAATCTGACTCTTTTGAGGAGTTCGATGGCATCCAATCTGATGCGACTAGCAACGCCACGGAGGAGAGGAACTTCACTGCCCTCGGAAACTGCCCAATGAGTCTTCTTCCCGCTATCAGTGTTGAAAGGCGTGACGATATCTTTGGTCCAGTTGATATGTTCGAAGGGAGCCTCAAGATAGGCTATTGGGCCTTGATATGCCATCCAGGACCAGGAGGGGACTCGCCTATCTGGAGGGTATGAGATTCTATCGAGTGACGCATCAGGAGCTTTCTGCCAAAGAAGACTTCGTTGAAGATATTCGTCGAAAATGCCAAATCCGCCTTTGGTAACAAAGTCCTTGACCAGCCTCTCTTCCAGGCCCTTGATTCCAATGGACCGATCGCTCGGTACTGTGAATGCGAGCCGGGAATATATCTGATAGAGGGTTTGGAATGTCACAATTCGGCCTCCCTTAAAGTACTCTAAGGCTGATTTGGGGAAATCGGAGTCCCCGAGAAGGGCAGCTTGTCGGCTTATTGGATAAATGTCAGCCTTTAGGAATCCAAAAGCCGAAGATTTGGGACTTACTTAGACAGCTTCATCAAACTCTCGCAATGAACGCCCTTGCCGCATTCCCAATACACCTGAGATGCTGTGAAGTGAAGTGTTCGGCGCGATAACGCCCTCTCTTGTAACACCCATCCACGCTGGTTGAGAACAGCTTGTTCGACATCTTGGTGGAAGTCGTCGATAGACTTGCGCACGAAGGTAAAGCCACCGCCGGGTCCCTCCAATGTTGCGAATGGATGGTTTGCTTTCTGTCGCAAGAAGCCTTCAGCCGAAGAAGACGCTGCTGTGGCTGCGATGGTGCAGTAAGCAGAGCTGAAGACATGCTCCATGCGTGTGGCCTCGAAAGCCCAGTCCTGCTTATCATTCTGGATAATGCAGAGTGAATCAATCCATAGGTAGCGTAGTCCCAACGCTCTCGTAATCTTAACCGCATCTTGGAAACTCTTTGGGAGAATGCCGAAGTCAATCTGCTTGCGAAAGACATTGATATTCTCCTTCAGGGTACGGACTTGGGCTTGAGAATTCACTCCCCAACAGTGGCTCAGAGCAGTGTATCGTTCGAGTGGAAGAGATTTTCCGTCGCAGAGACGAATAGTAGAATTCGGGTCTATTCCAACATCAAGGACGCGAGTAGGTAACTCGGTACGATCATCGACGCCATGACTGTGTTGTTCGTCACACACGCGTAGCCACTCATTCAGCAGAACAAATTGCTCAGGAGAGCCTGTTTCCGGTAGGGTAGGAAAGCCTATCTGTGCATGCGGGGGTGTAGAGCCGTCGGTCGCTATTATTGTTTCTAGTGAGCAGGCATCTTCGGTCAACAATGCGAATGAATTTCTTCCGATACTTACCTGGGTTTACATAAAGACTCAAAATGGTGGGACCATCGGGATCAATCTTCAAAGATGAGCCTTCTCTTCGACACTTCAATTCATGGCCATCTTCCATGCCAAGAAGTCCAGCACTCTGCACTAAGAGTGCGCATAGCTCGCAAGTCTGAGATCTGGATTTGAGATCTACAACTCGTTCACAAATAAGAAACATCGGCGTCCAGATATCATACCCCTTGCAATTACTGCAGAGTATGGAACCTTGTGGGGTCGGTAGGGGCGATGCAGATTTGCGATAGAATTCACTAGCAAAATGGCTATCACTCTGCAACTCCCACACATCTCGGAAGTTGTCAAGCTGCTGATGAGAATTAGCTGGAGCAGGATGCCTAGAAAGGGGGTTTTTCATGAGGCTTACACGTTACATATTGTTAGCCACAAATCGCTTCAAGGATGTTAGAGAGACTTACCATCTATCACGAGTACAAAAATGAGTAAAATTGACTGATTAGCAATACCTGAAGGAAAATGTCAAGGAGTTTGATGTCAATTAGAAAGAGCTTACGTTCTGGAATGACTGGAGTTAGTATAGAAGAGACCGAGAGACCGCACATCTGTCACAGGAAAATCAACCGTCACAAAGATCTGACACTCACATACTACGCACGAAGTATCTCATTAGCATCAATTCTTACGGAGACTGCTGTGTAGTGTCATGTCAAGATTTACTTACTTCTTGAGCATTCGGGATCGGAATTTGCATGTTGACCTCGCTTGGTTCAGCATGGGGTTCAACAATCATAGGAGTGTCTGGTATAGGCACGTCCGGTGCGCGCCCGAGAAGCGCAGGTTGTAGGTTTTGACTTGTTGGTGCGCGAACTGGGAGAGGTCGTTGGCCAGGAACTTCCAGCTTAGAGCGCCTGTGTTCAGCGGGGACTGCGCTAGTGCTGATGCGATTCCATAGAGTAGAATCCAGTAGATAGTTTTCCTGTGCTTGAGCTTGTTCAAAGATACTTCTCAGTCTTTCGTACAGTTTGAGAGAGTTTGTTCGGCCTTCGACTTCAGGTACTAGCATGTTCAAGTCGATTAGCTCCAGTACGTCTTTCAGCGCAGTGCTGGAAGTAGGGTCGTTTCGCCGGAGGTCCTTCGACATGCGAGATATCCAACGCTTGACCTCGCGATGCTGATGGTAGCCTTCATCATCCTTGCTCCAGAATTTCTCTTCGATGCTGGCCCTGTTGAAGTCTCTCAGTTTGCTGTTGCCATAAAGCACCCAGATGAGAAACTCGAGAAAGACGCAACCCAGTGACCACACATCGTAGAGTCGGGAGATCTGCTCAGTAAGCCCGAATTCCGGAGGCTCATAGCGAACAGTGCCAGTCATGGTATTCGTCGGCTGGTTTCGATCTCTGGTAGCCTCGAGATGGAACCTAGCGAGCCCTACGTCGGCAACTCTGAGAACACCATTGCTGCCGGTCTCGAGGAAATGAAGAATATTTTCGGGCTTCAGATCTCCGTGTCGGCAGTTCCTTTCGTGCAAGGCACTGATGGATCCGCAGATCCCTTGTAGTTGCCGTAGAACCCAAAGAACAAGATGAGGGTCTCTGACAGGCACAGGTCGCAATTTTTCTTGGGAGCCCCAGAATTCTTTCAGGTTGCCACCCTCCCCCCAAGGGAAAAGGAAGCCCCTAAGGTCACCTCTTCGATATGCCGCTAAAGGTTTAATGAGATGCAGGTTTTCAACATTGCGTATGGTTTCCAAAATATCCGCCTCTTTCTCATAGTATGAGTCCATCCCGATTCTCATCTCCTTTGAGGCGACACGAATCTTCTTCCCCGTAGCCTTTAATCAATTGTAAGCGAATGAAGTACATCTCAACAGGGCAAGATATCTTTACCATAGGCAGTACCTTCTGATGTGCATCATGGATCACCACTTCAAACACGGAGCTGAAAAAACCCGCTTTTTGGTGGTTGATCTTCACGGTAAAAGGAAGAGGGCAGCTAGGGTGAAGCTTATGACGAAAGGAATTGGCAGTGAAGACAGGCGCAAGGAATTGCCATTGACTGTGAAAGAAACTGTCGAGAGTGAGCTTCCGGCGACTCGCGAATAGAGGCCACCTTTTGCCGCCTTCGATGCTTTCCATTGAGTACCCATTCGTCTCAGGGCTTTTCACAACTTTGACGGGTAGGTCGTCGTCATGAAACTTTTGAGGAGCATCGGCTAGATCTTGGAGTCGCTTCAGATCATCGCAGACAACCAGAGTAAGAAACAGCCGCCTAGCAGGTTGATATGGGTTTGTGACATAGGCTACAAGAGATGACAGTTGATCACTTGTCACGTGCGCCTCGAGCTCTTCCTCGACAATTCTTCTAGATGTCAAGACGTCGATAATGTCGGCTGGCAGAAAGTCTTTGTCATCGTCGGTCTTACAAAGGCCCTGGATGATTCTTTCCTCGAGTGAATCATCGCTAACAGATGAGTTGAGAGGAAAAGAAGTTGCTTCGGGTGGGTGCGTTTGGGACGTCCCTAATGAGACATGACCATCAGTGCTCGAAGGCAGTTCCGTAGGCAGATATCCTTCTACTCGACGTAGTAATCAGCATTGCCCAAATACCTATCAACAGATATGTTTGTATGAGAACTTGGCCTCCTAAGGTGATCTTGGGCTAAGCCTGAGATACGTGACACAGTCTTGAGTCCATCCAACGGGGCACTCACCTCCATCCGACAAAACTACGGAGCGTTCATCAGTATCTTCCAGAAACGCCATCTCACTCAACCGCTTTCTTGTGCAACTTTCTGAGAGAGGCAGTCCGTGTTGGGGTTTCTAATCGTACGGGTCAGCCTCTTTCTGACCTTCAAATCGGGGCGTAAGCTAGAAGGTCGACGCACCTGCGGAGCGAAGAAGCGCACAAATACGAGGAGGAGGATTGTGCAAGAAATAGGCCAAGCGAAGTGTTCGGCTCCTTCGAAGATGCTACCAGCAGACATTTTTGTGTTGAAGTCGGATCCCGATCGAGTCGAGGATTGCAGTCCGGGGGCGGCGAGTATCAGAGTGGTCTTATGCCGGGTTTGACTACGGCCGGGCGCGTGAGACCAAGCTATCCGCAAAGTTGCAAGAGAGTGGCCAGCAAGATAGGCGTCCGGTTGTGATGAGACATGGTCGCCATGCAGAAGCTGAAGAGAGTGGCTGTTCCTAGTGGCAACCGGCGCAGCGGCTGAGGTATCAGCAGCAAGGCTCAGTGCAGGCGTTTCGGCACGAGGATGCTGATCTCTAGTCTTTTGAGGCGCGATATCTGAGATTTTTGGTCATCCTTGGAGCAGGCTGCTGGTGGATCGGGTCGGTTGCAAGCAGGTGGTCTCACTCGATTCTTGGGGACGGCAGCCTTCAGTTTCCGGTTGGTCTGCCTGATATGGAACGTCCTGGGGTGTTCTGCAGGCGATATGTCCCGCAGCTCTGTGGCACGCCGACCTATGCGAGATTTCGTCCAGCCTGCTTGAATTACCATTTCGTTTAACCCCGCTAGCTCCGAAACCCTACATGTAAGTAAGTAGGTAAGTTAGTAGGCGCCAAAATTTCGTGCGTTGGGGAACACAGATAGGCATCTTGCGCACTCCTCGGCAACGGTTGAGAAAAGTGTCACTTCAACATCTCCGTTATTGTTGATGATGAGGGAGAATTCCTGCCGATTGCCGGAGCCGGCCCGAAGTCTACTTCTCGACAGTAGAACCGCCCCGAACGGTTCGGTACTCCGGCGGGCCTGTACAATCCGTTCAATTAGGTAGTCACTTGAAATCAATCAGACTAAAAACCAAGGCTGTCGAGAACTCGTCGATATCAGCGATACTTCTCAATGACTGCGAAATGGCATCGTTGACACAAAGGGCTAGGGCAGTCTTTATAGCCTTAAACATCATCTTCACAGCTTTCTCAACATGGACTTATGGCGGATTCGTCTTATGGTCGACCCTAGCTGACACCTAGCACCCGTTGATTGCGGGGTATAAAGCTTATTGAACCGACGAACACGCTCCAGCCCGTGACGTTGGCCAGTCTACATCTACGAATGGGTGAGATGGGGCTGGGTTGTTGCCCCTCGCGATCTACCCAAAGGGAGGCGAGGATTCCCGGAGCTGTAAGACATGAACTCTCCTATCGGCATAGCACGGCAGCGGCAGCGATAAGAAGGTCTCACGTCATTTCACGGCTTGATCACCTACCCCTCCCTCCCTTTCCCGCCAGCTGCATCTTCACACCTGCGCAACCAAATTACCAGGCCGAAAGCCATCTCGCCTGGGGACTACATCCATCATTTTGCGGTTGAAAGGCTGTTAGAATTCCTTTTCAACCTAAGCCAAAACCCTGACCTCTCTAGCGGTCTTTCTCCGCGAAGATGGATCCCGCGAAGCTTACTGGCCAGGCACTCCTTAGCCATACCATTCAGACGACGCCCATCATCGACAACCATGCCCATCCTCTTCTAGATCTCGATGCAATTGGCCGTTATCCTCTTCTATCAATCACAACTGAAGCGCACGGCGATGCAATCCACGCCTCATTGACCAGTTTGGCCCACTTGCGCGCCGTCAAACAGCTCTCCAAGATCCTTCGATGCGAACCGAGTTGGGAAGCCGTCGTGAATGCCATTGAGGCGAAACGCATCGAGGACTATGATGCCTGGGTCGCGGAATGCCTCAATGGAATTGAATCGGTTCTGGTCGACGATGGTTTAGATGGCGAGAATGCGGTCTATCCTTACACGTACTTCAGCGACCTTACCCGCAGCCCCGCCAAGAGGATTGTGCGCATCGAGAAAATTGCGGCAGACATTATCAATAACCATCTCCCCACGGATGAGAACGCTCCAAGAACCGCCAAAGACGCCGGGTCCGTGTTTGAAAAGGCATTGAAGGCGTTTGATCACAGTATTGTGGAGGCCATAGCCGATCCAGAAGTCGTTGGCTTCAAGTCCGTGATTTGCTACCGCACTGGTTTAGGTATCCCTAGGAGACCAGACGCTGCTGCGGCTCGCAAGGTATTCGAGGAGATCCACGAGAAACATACCAAAGGCACTGACAAGGCATTCACACGCGTCAATCATCGTGGGCTTAATGAGTATCTGGTGCATAGATTGGCTTGTCTCATAAGGAATGCTTCAGGCTCTGGCAAGAAGCCAATTCAATTTCACACTGGCCTCGGCGACAACGACATCACTCTCACTTCCGCTTCCCCATCACATCTACAGGAGTTCATTCGCCAGTACCCCACGATTCCCATCGTACTCCTGCATGCCAGCTACCCCTTCATGAGAGAGGCCGGGTACTTGGCGTCTGTGTATGCCAACGTCTACACTGATATTGGCGAGATATTTCCGTTCCTGAGCAGAGATGGCCAGGAAACTGCCGTGCGGCAGGTTCTAGAGCTGTGTCCCTGGTCTAAGATATTGTGGAGCACTGATGGGCATTGGTTCCCAGAAACCTACCTACTCGCCGTCCTTCAAGTGCGGGAGGTCTTGGAAAAGGTCAATAATGTCATATGCCGCTTCTTCTATCCGTCAATGCTGACATGTTCCAGGTCTTGTCTGAGTATTCCCGCAAGGGACACATGACCTGGCGGGAAGCAACTCAACTCGTCAAAGACATCCTCTTCAACAACTCCAACCGTGTGTACCATCTCGGACTAGAGTTCAGCTTCGATGAAACAATTGCGAACCCGAGAAGACTGTCAGGAAGAAGCGATCTTGACATCCTCGAAGCTTTCCTGGATGGAAAAAAGCCACCTCAATACCTGCGCATCTACTGGAATGACCTGACAGCAACACCACGAGTTCGCGCGATACCAATGCGCAAAGTTCTCTCTGTAATGAACGAAGACGGTGACTTCTCCATTAGTATCACAAAAGCAAGTCTCGGACTGTTGCAGAACGACCACGTGGTCCCAGGGGCATCTGGCACCGGAGAGTACCGCCTCCATCCCGACTTCACCTCACTTCAGGAGGGTCCCAGAGAGGGTCATATCAGCGTCTTTGGCGATTTCAGAGAGTATGACGGCTCTGCTGTACCCTTCTGCCCGCGATCATTACTGCAAAGGGTAATCGAGATAGCTGCCCGACATGGGTTGACCTTCAGTCTCGGGTTCGAGATTGAGCTGGTTCTCCTCGAGCACGTGGATAACTCCTTCGAAAAGTACAAAACCCTTAGCAACGACGGCCACGCATGGTCTACCTCCCGCATGATGGATCACCCTGTCTTTGCCAAAGTCATTGAGAAGGCTGTGGCCGAGCTAGACGCCGACGGCATCTACATCGAACAAGTGCACCCTGAGAGTGCGGCCGGCCAGTTCGAAGTCATCCTTCCTCAGGCGCCTCCCCTCGAAGCAGTCGACACATTGCTTTACGTACGTGAGGTCATCTCAGGCATCGCAGCTGCAGAAGGTTACAGGATGACTCTTCACCCAAAACCATATCCGACAGCTTGCGGCACCGCAGCCCATGTGCACATGTCAATCAACTCCGCTGCAGGCTCCAAGCCAGAGACGTACAACCCATTTTATGCCGGGATCTTGAGGCACCTTCGCGCGATTACGGCCTTCACATACAGCAACCCTGTCAGCTACGAGAGAGTTCAAGATGGCTGCTGGGCCGGCGGTCGCTGGGTAACGTGGGGCACCCAGAACAGAGAGACGCCGCTGCGCAAGATTGAGAACAGCCATTGGGAGGTCAAGTGCATGGACGGCATCGCAAATCCGTACCTCGCACTCGCTGCACTCCTGGGCGCAGGCACACACGGTGTCATCGAAGGCGAGAAGATGACCTGGGGTGATTGCGAGGTTGACCCGGCGTCTTTGACGCCGAATGACCGGAAGGAGCTGGGCGTCGAGCAGATGCTTCCTTCAGGTCTGCCAGAGGCGCTCAAAGCTCTCCGCGCGGACGATGTCATGAACGAGCTGCTTGGTGAGGACTTGGTAGAGAGATACGTCACAGTCAAGGAGGAGGAGATGAAGAACCTTGAGGCTATCAGTAGTGATGACCGGCGACAGTGGATCTTGGAGAGATACTAGGACAACATCTCGACCAAACTGGAGCTGATGACCAAATTTATCTTAGCTGGGTGCCTGTCTACACACTATGAATGAAACAAAAGTTATAATACTAAGTGCACTTCATTACTTACTCTCTTTGATGATGGTCTGCAAAGCCTTGACATACTCATCAACCTCCTTGGCCCCGATGAGAGTGAGATCCCTCCGACGGCCCTCAAACATGATATACGGTACCGAATCAACACCATCCATGGCAGCCATTCGAATCATGTTTCTCGTCTCCATCTTCCCTTCACTTTCATCATCCACAACCGCCTTCGCCTCCGTCTCCGAAATACCGGCCTCGACGCACGCGTCAACCAGCACATCCTTGGAGTTTTGATCCTGCTCGCATTCGAAGTAGCGACTATATAACGCATCAACTAGTCGATTCGCAGTCTCTGCATTCTTGGCTTCCTGAAAATGCTGGATAATTCGATGTGACGGAAGCGTGTTGGACATGGTGCCCCCAAAGGAGAAGTTGATGCCGGCTGCGGATCCGAGGGCCCCCATTGTCGCTTCGAAAACTTCTTGCTTTTGATCGGAGGCATCATGCTTGGCTGTCGTGTACCAGTGCCGCTTGCCCTGCGGCTCTGATGGGAAGTCTGGGTAGAGTTGGTATGGACGGAAGACCAAGGTGAAGGAAACATCTTTGCCATTGGGGCTGGCCGCGACTTGATTGAGAGCTTCCGTCAATCTGCCTACTGTCAGATCACGAAAGTGCATCCATGTTTGTGATTTGATACCTCTTTTTAGCGATATAGGTCCTTTCCTCGAAGGGTTAACT